TCCAGTCATGGGTGGAGTCCCACCAGGTCTCCGTTATCCCTGTGACATCGTAATTGTTTGCACTGAGCATGAGGATGAGCTCCTCCTGCTTATTCCCCAAGCTCCTGGCATTAGTGTACAGGCAGGCAAGTGCCCCCTGGGGGGCTCCTTCCTTGCCCACAGATTTTACCAGGGCTGGGGCAGGGGTGGGCTACCTGAAGCGCCATGATCCGCTGGCTTTGTAAGGATTGCTCAGCGGGCCAGCAGTGGCGGTAGTCCCCCCGTCCCCCAACGGGCTTAGTTTAAAGCCCGGTGGAGCAGGTCAGCCAGTCTGGCTGAGAAGAGCCTCCTCCCTAGGGGAGAGAGGTGGAGGCCATCCCTTCCCAGCAGCTCGCTGCCTCTCTTGCCAAGGACGAGAGATCCTTAATCTCTCGTGTTAAGGATTGTCTCTCCTTTTTAATGTTTTTAATGTTCCACCAATGAACTAGCTCACTAGTTTCTTTCGGCAGTTTTGCTCTCTGCTAGCTCTTTCTGGTCTCTCTTCTCCTATTTCACAGCCATGGAGACTCTTTAGCTCTTTTCAAAATTTTAGACCACCCATGCAGACCAGTTTTCAGCAGTATCTAATGATTTGGTCTTAGCTGATTAAGAAAGGGAGTGTAAATCAGCTAAAGACTAGGCCCTGTCCCTGCTCTATGCAGCCATCATCCTGGAAAAACCTTTTCCCTTTCTGCCTTTCAAAAACAAGTTTCTCGTCTTATTCTGGGCCATGCTGTATGTAAGAAAATATGGTAATACTTTCTATTGATACACAGTGACAACACTTGGGAGCAAACCAAATAGGATAAAGGCAAATAAGGATTTTGCAAACAACCTATACATCCACACAATTTGATAGGATATTATATATTTGTTTGTAGCATTGTTTAGATCTAACATTTGCATGTTGGTTAAAAAAGGTGGAAGAAAGGGTTTATTTTATAAAAGAAGTGTAGAATAACGTTAATAGAATTTTTCATTAATACACACGCAGCTTCAGATTGAAACATTTCCCTACTGTATTTGCAATGGACACATGAAAACACACAAAAACTGGAGAGCAAAACTGACTGGAAATTGAAATGAAACTATACTGTTTATTTGCATTTTCCTGCTCAGTGAAACACATACAGTACAAGTAAAGAAGCACTAGAAACATAAAAAAAGTAAATGACTAATTTTACCACATACCTTTTAAAATTATTTCAATTTTTACTAATGTACAAAGAGTGTTTTATAACATAAGGAGATGAGCATATGATAATACTATGACTCGGAATTTATACCAGTAATTACAATATGTGGGTTTCTCTCCTGCCTTTTGACTATCCCTGTTCTATGGATTTTTAAATTCTCTTATTTGAGCCTAGAGGTCTTATTTTCAGGGACTGCCTAAATGACTTCTTTCTTTAATTTCTAGTTTGTTATTGGGTGTACTTCCTTTGGCAGGGAACCCTCACTGAATGGTTCAACATACTATAATGTAATCAAGGTTTCGTTATTAACTGGAAAATCCCACTCCTTTCCTAATTTTTAAGGGTGTGCCTGTGGAATATATTTCACTGCAGTGGGAAACTGGAAAAGATGGTGAACTCTTGACTTTCAGTGTGACTCACTGTTAAACAAGTGGGTTCACACACACTGACTGCTTGCAAAAAAAACACCCTGCCAAAGCTTGTATGTAATGCTCAGAACAGTTTCCCACGGAGACAAATTTAAAGGGAAAAATACAATATATAAAATATTACTTTTGATTGTTTTTTCCACTGCTATAACTTCAGATATTTGATTTTTAAATGAGTATTCTCTTTCATAACCCCCACTTTTCCTTTTGAATTATCCCAGTATGAGGACATAGCTTTTTTGATTTATGTTTATGATATCACTATCTAATGCTATATAAAGAGAGTATAATTGCAAAATAATGACAAATTAAAACTCAAACCCAACATAAACTTCCCATG